GTTCAGCAGTCACCCTGGACATGGGTCAGGGTGGTGCAGTCCCTAAGAATTGCCAGGCCACACTCCCTCCATGGCCCTACCAGGAAAACCCCCCACTCTGCAGACTGAGACCCACCCCTCCGCCTGGGGTTCCATCTCCACCCCTCACCACCACATCACTCTGAGCTAGACCACTGAGGCCGCCTTTGTCCCCTGTTCCCCCACAGCAAACCTCCTTCCCAAGGATGTGTTTGAACTCCTGAAGGACAAGTGGGATGACCTGCAAGAGGTGAGTGGGCTCCTCCATGCGCTGGGGAAGAGGCAGCCAGGAGCCTCTGTCAGTGTGGAGGAAGCCTCTGGCCTATACGTTGGGAGGGAGTAAGCTGAAAGGGAACTGCAGACCCCAAGCAGAATGGGTGTTCGGAGACCTGTGTTCTGCACGTAACTTGCTCCTTCCTGGGCAGGTGGGAGTCAGCGACATGCAGCTGGGGGACCAGGGGCCACCGGAAGAGGCCGAAGACCGCTTCAGCATGCCCCTCATCATCACTATCGTCTGCATGGCATGTTGCGCCCCTCTAGGGCTGCTGCCACCAGCGCCTCTCCCAGAGGAAGGACCAGGTGAGTCCTTTGTCCTCGAGCAAGGGGGCCAGTCCCGCTCACGGGATGACTCTAACTTCATCATTGCAAAGAGGAATGTGAGTGGGCCACGGGCTGCTCTGCCAGGAGGGACCATCCCGCTAGACTCCTGCTTGCTTAGTGGGACATGAAAGAGGCACATGGCGACAGGGAAGTGGGTGGGCTTGGGAGTCAGACAGGCAAGGCCCTAGTTCTGCCCTGATCGTGTGACCTTGAATCAACTGTGTCATGGCTGTGAGCTTCAGGGTCCTCGCCTGCAGAGTGGGGATAATAGCCACCTTGCAGAGCTGTTCTGAGGAGTCACTGATGTAAATGGGCCTAGGCATGCACTGCCTTCCGAGTTCCCATCATGACAGTTCCACCCAGACCCGTGATCTGCGACCCTGGCCGCACACTATGGGGCATTTTAAAGAAGTCCCCAGGCCTGTCTCCCTCATACCCCAGTTGGAAGAGAATCTGGCTCAGCATGAGTGTTGAAACCAAGACAGAGAAAGCAGCGTCGCCAGAGGGCCGCCGTCTGAGATAGACGGTCAGACTCATCTTGCCCAGGGTTAGAGAGGACCTGAGTTGCTCAGCCCAGGGCAGGGGCGTCACTTTCAGCCCTGCCCAGTTCATTCGGATGGGATGAGGTTGGTGCCTGGAGAGGAGGTTCCAGGGAAGGCCTGGAGCAAAGTGCTCAGAGAACTCTGGAGCACAAAGTCCATCTCCATGGACTTCAAAGCTTTGCTGCAGGGCCAAGGTGAGGTGACCTGAGAATGTGAGGGTAGAGGGCGCGTCTTTGTCTCAGACTAACCTGAAGCAGACCAGTAGCCAGAATGGACTCCGGGAGCAGCCAGTTCTCATGTGTGAGCCAGAAGTGTTCATTTACACCAAACTGTGGTTCCTGGGAAGGAGGCACATGTGTCTCTTAAGGCTTGTAGCCCTCCAAAATGACCTTCTCCCTGGCCCATCACCCCAACTCTAGCAACGACTAACAGAGGAGCTGCAGACGGTGGAGAATGGTTACCATGACAACCCAACCCTGGAAGTGATGGAGACCTCTTCCGAGATGCAGGAGAAGAAGGTGGTCAGCCTAAATGGAGAGCTGGGGGACAGCTGGATCGTCCCTCTGGACAACCTGACCAAGGACGACCTAGATGAGGAGGAGGACACACACCTCTAATCAGGTCTGCTGGCGGCCTCCGACAGCGCCACAGAGCTCCGGACTGACCACCGGAAGTGCCATTTGGACGGGGAGGAAAACTCCTTCCTCTTTGAGGAGGGAAAGACTAGGGAGGGACAGTGGACTCTGAGCATTACCCCCTCCCAACCTTCCCCCAGGGCCTTAATTTTTCCCCTTTCGAGCTGAACAAATCACATTCTGTCTAGATTCCTCTTGTAAAATAATTCACTAGTGCCTGAGCTCAGTGCTGCTGGAAGATGAGAGGAAAGGGGTCAAGAAAGAGCCATGTAAGGGGCCTTGGAGACCCTCCAGCAGAAAGCCTCTATTTCACAGGTGAGGTTTCCAAGGCCCGAAGAGGGTAATGACTTGCCCCAGGTCCCACAGCCAGGTGACAGGATGAAGACGGCGTCCTCCCCACTGCAGTGCTCATTTGCACCAGGCCTCACCGCGGTGCTTGCTCACACCCTCTCCAGAGCTACCCTGGGCAGGGAGTGAAACGCCAGTCGGTAGATGGGCTGGGCAGGAGAGCAGAGCCAGGTCCTGTCTCGGTGGGATCAATTCCTCCAAAGTACAGGTCCTACATTTTCTATCCAGCCTCTGCCAGTGTTCCCGCCCCCTTTATTCTTCTCCCTCCTTTCACTCAGTTTTTATTTGCAGTCTGCACCAGGGCTCCTGGGACTAGCATAGGCCATTCATGCGTGACCTTGAACCCCTGCTTTGGGATTCCATTTCCCTGCATTTGCTTAATGAGGTTGGGACTTAACCCACGCAAAACTCCTACAGTGAGCTAGGTCTGCCCAAGGGGTTGGTGGACAGGGGAAGAGCAGGGGAAGCACTTCATCCCAGGATGGCTGCCTCACAGCAGCAGGTTAAGATAGCACTGCCCCGTCACCCAGCACTCCCGGAAGAGGCTCCCCCACATGTCCTTTGGCCTGGCCTTCCATTCCCACCAGGGAACCTGCAGTAGCTACAGAATGCAGAGTGTTCCTATGTGTGGTTCACTGCTCGGCTGACACGGGGGAAGAAGAAGCCAGGGAATCACCCTGCAACTCCAGTGTGAAAAAGCAGCAGCTGAAGGACAGGTCCTTCCTGGCAACCCCAGTCAGCAGAGATGTGTCTTAGTAGACAATCGGTTCAGCTAGCCAGGAAAGACAGGCTCTACTCTCTACTTTGTAGGAAACTCAGGGACTTTGCAAGTTGCTGAGAGTGCTGTCATATTTGTTTTTTTAATCCGGCCCTCCACTGCCAAAGGCCAGAACTCATCATTGGAGACTTTTCAGTTAGCTAATCTCATTTCATGCCATAGGGAAAGCAAGGCCTACGATGTGCAGCACATTTTAAGGTGCAGCTTGGGGACTGGCTGGCTATTTCCAGTAACTGTTCACTGTCCTGGCATGGAGCTAGGCCTCGCTGGTTCCTCTTCGGTAGTCTAGTGGGGCTGCCACAGCTCTCCTACAGTTTCTGGTGGCATCTCAGGGAACCACAAAGCCATGTCTACTCCCCAGTGTTGGTTTTCATTCATAGGCTTAGCAGTGAACTGCAACATACAAGGCTGCTGAGGACTGGGCGGGGGGAGATTTAATCCGATCTTCTGAGAAGGGGGAGTCCTGCATGGAATTCTGTACTGTGGCCATGGTCTCTTTGTTACTGGGCACAAGTTCCCTGGTTCCAACTAGGAAGGGTGGGCAGAGCTGCTTGGGGAATGAAAATGGTCTCTTTAGGGCCAAGTCACAACTCCAGAGTCCTAAGGGCAGGTCCAGACTGGTCATTTCGATGAACTAGGCTATCTGCTTTGGGACAGCTTGTGTTCAAGGAACTGAGGGGTGGGGGCTGGGAGGAGCTAGGGCACAGATCTCTCTCCTTCCCGTCTGCCTGATTCCTTCTTTAGAGCCTGTAACCACTTGGTATCCTAGGGCAGAAGGAAGACCACAGCTTCATGGAGGGCTGACTGGCCCCCAGTGGATTTCCAAAGAGTGGCCAGGCTAACAAGCCTCCCAAAACATTTGCCCTGGCTCTCTGGGGCTTGGAGGTTCGACAGGATGGAGGACAGTGCTGGTTTGGGGGAGAAGAGCAGAAATCTTGTTACATTGGAACAAGATCTGTTGGCTTCTGTCTTGCCCAGCTTTGGTTCCTTCCACCCCATGGGTTCCTGTCATGGCCTCTAGACTGGATGATTACTCCTTTGCTGATTCTGGGTCACATCTCACCAACCAGGGATTTTGACAGAGACAGCAGATAGGCCTCTGCAGATTGATCCAACACTACAACCCCAAGGCCTCATGGAGAGAGATGATGACTAGCAAGGACCAGAGGGTAAAGGTCATGCCTGGTCAAAAGGAAAGACCATGTCCTGTCCCGGAAGGAGCTCTAGACTGAGTCAGAGGGTCCTTTTTATGTATCCGAACTGTCTTGCTCTGGCCCTTAGTGGGACTTCAGAATCTGATACCTTGCCTCGCTTTTGCCACTGGGACATCTGTGTCAAGAGGTCATACGACACACGCATCCGTAAAGGTCATCTTCCTGTATCTTTACTGGGTTCTAAATGCTGTCTGGTAATTCAGGTTCGGGGGCTGAGAACAGGTGAGAGGAGCACTAAGCGCTTAAACAAGTTGTACCAAAGAGAGATTACGAACTCCACTTCAGCGGCAAACTAAAAACTGTAAGTCCAGTGGTTTCCCCAAGCTACAAACATCATGGATCTGACAAAGAGATGAAACCCAGTGGGAAGCACGCAGCCACGTAATCGGGGGGAGTGAGGGGGAGCAGCCGTGCTCACATAGAAGGTAAAGAATATTGGATCAAGCACATGAGACAGGTCTGATCTAGTCTACACACCAGATTTTTCACCTGTCAATAAGGAAAGCTAGCAACAAGTTTATTTAAACCACTCTGAGCTTTATCTTTTATGACAATATACTGGAGAAGCTTTGAAGGACGAGTTCAAACTGATACATATCATATCTACAGATTTTTGATGATGTAAATACAACAGCCACGTTAATCTGCACTGCTTTGGATGTCAGCTAAGCTCTTTTCTCCCTCTGAAACAGGAATGTAAATGTCTGCCTTACTAGAAATGGCAAGTTTTTATTTTAATTTTAAACACACAATGAAAGACTATGCTAGACAGGTGGATGGTAAAGTATTTGTCTTATAGACTGGGCATTTTTGTTTCAAAATACGATATTCCACCCTTCAGCCCTCAAGCCCTAGCCCTCTTTGTATTAAGGACTGGCATTGATAATGCACTGGAAAGTGACAGTCTAGTCATCACAGGGATAGAGACTTGGGATCTAGTCCCATCTTTTTCTACATTAAAAGAACCTAAAGCCCAGAAAGATAAGTAACTTGACCAACATCAGATGGCTAGTGATGGAAAGAGGCTTAACACTTGCATCCACAGATAGTTTAGGGCTGCTTCAGGAACCTGTGGTTAAATACTGCCCCTTTCAGGCACCAGGACAACACAAGGGGCAGAAGCCCTTCCTTAATCTTCCCCAGCGTGAAGAGAGAAGAACCCCACTGGTCTTCTGCACTTCCTTAGTCATCCAGGTCTGAGATGAACAGCTCTTTCTGCCAGGAAGCATTTTGAATGTGCTATTACATATGGAACTTATTTCTACCACTAGGACGAAGGATCAGAGGGAACAGGATGAGGAAGGCAGAGAGGGCAGGGGTGAAGCACCTGCGTAGCTTCTGTCATTGTCACTAGCTGGTTCCTTCAGTCCTACTGCAAACCCAACACAGAGTGAAAGGAGGGAATGACTTTTCCATGTGGTTCTTTTTTCTTATTAGTGAATGTTAGTTTGCCCAGGAGCCTAGGGAGCATGTGTTTCAGTGGACAGGGGTCTGAAGTACACTGGAATTTACCGAGAAACTTGTTTGTAAAGTCTATAGTTAATTATTGCATTTTCTTACAAAAGTATATTTTGGAAAATTGTATACTGTTAATTAAAGTGCTTTTGTGTAAGTTGGTTCAAGCCCTAGTATGTTCCTCTGATTGACTTAACCTGGTCACTTGTGCATCAGCTCATCACCGAAGCACCTGAGGACAGCAGGTAACCCTCCATGAGTGCAGCAACCTCCAAGTCATACTTGCTGAACTACGCAGGCACAGAGAGTGGGAGAGAGGAGGGAAGCTGCGAGGAAGGGAAAGGGGACCCTGAAGGTAGTGACATTCTCTAAGTTTCTTCAGGCTGTCCTAGGGACCTTAACTATAAGGACCTCATTTCCCAAGACATTGTTTTATAAATGTGTTGCTCTCTTCCTTCCCTCTACTTCTGCCTCAGATACAATTGTGAATCACTACCACCAAAGATCCCATGGGGTTGCTGAACCCAGATCAGGCATAAAAATATTGGTGAAGACATGAAACCAATAAAAAAAATAAAAAAAAAAAAAGGCAGCTCTGTTTTGGCCCTGTTTCTGCCTGTAAAAGGACCTGGTTATTTGCCCCCAGAGCCTCCAGCCTATCCCTTCTCCAGGTATGCAGTGAAGATGATGGCGGTTCAGGGAGAGCACCCAGGACAGTGATGTCTACAGCTATGTGTGTCCTCACCAGAAGGGGACAGCGTCATCGTGCCCAACGTGCAGAAGGGAAACACATGGTCGGGGAGAGTCGATCTGCAATCCTGGATGCTAGATAATAATCTCTTCTACTTACAGTTCACAAAGCATGTTCACCAGTATTAAAGGGACTGTCACCACTCGATGGGGGATATTAGGTGCACAGATAACCAACTCTTTAAGACCTGGATCCCACATCTTTTCTCTCTAGTCCTAAATTCTTTTCTCAATACTACATCAATGCCTGGATTTGGACAACAAAACATATTTCTGGAATGCAACTACTGTTAACAGTATGACTTTCCTTTTCTTTTTCTTTTTTTGAGAGGTTTTTGCTATAGGGCATGTGCGCTTACCAGAAAGACAGAGTGAGACATAGAGACAGAAAGTGAGACATCACCCCCTGGGGGGATGGTCACCCCGCAATCCCTTCTCCATTCTCTTGTCGAAATCTTGGGCACGCATGCACACAAGCCCAGTGTGAGTTTAAACCACTGGGTTCAGGACTCGAACCGCGGTCAACTACATGGGAGTATAGCTATTACGCAACTGCTGGTCCCAGTATGACCTTCCTTTCATGCAGCAATTCTGGAAGGCAATTACACCCTGTAGACTGCCAGCGTGGGGCCAGGGGTTCTGAGGTTAACCTCAAGAGTGTGCCAAGGATACAGAAAGGAGTCTAAGCACCATGAACTCCCACTGGTAATGCTCCACATCCACTAAAGAGGGTGACTCAGACTTTATCCCAGGCTGCGAATCAGACCCAAACTCCAGTCTTCCTGAGTAGGCCACTGATCCCCCACTCCCCTGCCCTGCCAACCAAGAGGTGCTCTGGGGGTTGTCATTGTTAGTTTGTTAGGCCCCTTGGTCACTCACAACTTCAACCTACAAGCTGCCCCCCAAGCCATGTATTTTTTCAGTACCCCAAGAGGAAAAAGTAAGTAACGAATAGGACTGGCAACTATAATTAACGTTAGTGATAAATCCTAAGATTTTCCAAAGACCTTGGCATTTTATAGATTAAAGAAGGAAATCGATGGCACTCTAAACAGAATCTGCTGCCAATATTTACTCAACTGATGGAGGACGCACACCAGAGTTACTGCCCAGCGCTACACAGAAGTCACTGGTGAACAGGGAAACAAAAACTGGATTCCTGACTCCTGGGCTACTAGTCCTCCAGCCCAGAGTAGCTGCCCAACGTGTTCTGTGTACGCTGCCAAGTGTCCTAATCTCCAATGTGGGGATTCTTAACAGCATAGTACACCTTTTCTTCCCTGTAGTAAGTCTGTCTCTGGTGAGGCTCTGACTGTCGCCTTTGCCTTTCCTAGCTGGGAGCCTCAGGAGAAAAGTCCCCCATGGTCATGAGAGAGGCTGCAGAGGAAGGCAGGAGGATGTGAACCATCCCCTCTGCTGCCATACCTTCTCTATGGGCTCCACTCTTCCTCTTCTTCCAAGACATGTAAAAGGCAAAGATGTGACATACTAGTTTGGTGCCACACCAAAGCAAGAAACAAACTAGTATTTGTTTTTAAATAATTATTTAATTTTATTTACCTTTTTTTTTTTTTTCCAGTGTGCTATAGGGCATGTGTGCTCATCAGAGTGTGAAAGAGAGAAAGGGAGAGGGAAAGTGCCAAAGTAAGCCACTAAGTACGGGACTTGAACCACAGTCGGCCATGTGGTAGTCCAGCACTTTAACCACCACACCACCTGCTGGCTCCCATCAACTAGCATTTAAATTTGTGAGCATGGGTCTAAGAGCCATCAGTTGGCCTTTCTAGTCATTACCTTCCGAACCTGAAAGGTTAGCAGTAAGGATGTTGCCTTAATTTAAGGAGAATTTTCCATTTCTGCACACTCTGGTGGTCACTCCTGACAGGCTGCATGCATGTGGGCACACACGGCCATTTCCCTACTGGATACTGGGTTATCTTCCCTGGACAACAGATGCTCCTGAAAAAGCAAGTTCTAATCTCTTGGGCTCCACATTCACTTGACATCAGAGCACCAAAGGACAGCCACAAATGTAACAAGGGCAGTATCACACATTTTGATCTTTGAGTTAATTCTCTGGAGGATGAACTAAGACCAGGCCAATTCTTTATCTTATCTGCACATCACAGTCTTCCTGTTTGGAGAACACAAAGAATGTTCCTTATGGCCCACACTCAAAGCACACCTTAGAAATGAAAGCTGGGCAATGCATGAATTATTTGTAAATTGAGCAACCTGTAACCCCTATTTTGAATAAGATCAGCCGATAACTGTCCAGATGATAGGATCACAAGGTCAAGAAAATCTGAACCACATGAGAGAAAAAGAGCTGAAAGATCTTGTTATTGGGAGTCTATTTGGAGACCTCACACAACTCGGCCCTGATGATATAGTATCTCTATCCAGCATATCTCTGAGTTTACTGTTGTCAACATTTGGCCCTTAAAGTTTCCTTCCCCTTGGGGACAGCGACCCAGAATTTCCCCAAACTTTACAACTCCTCCAGGTTCTCTCCTTTTACTATCTTTTTCACTACTTTCTGTCTCAGTTCAGTTTTTGCTTCTAGTTCCTGAACTATTTAGTATCCCCCCCCCCTTACTGAGAACCCAGGAAATACAAATTTAAATTTATAAAACAGATAAAATAAGGCTGGTCAGTAACAGCAAACAGAAGAGCATCATTTCCTAAAACAATTT